ACAATTAAACCCCAAAACCTTTTAGGCCAAAACCCTGTAACCTTAATCCTTGAGTTCCCAACCCTGTAATCCCGAGCCCTAAGCCCTAACCCCGCAGGGCCGAAACCCTCCTTTGAAACACTTATGGCTGCTCAATATATGAACTCTATATGTAGACTTGCTGAGATTCCTGTTGCGAGAACCCTGAAGCCAGAACCTCGAATGTAAGGATCTAGTCGGGCACCTTCATGTGTTGGGTTGGGCCAACCCTACAAACCCAGCACCTTATAAAGTGGTAAACCTGATGTTTTCAGGGTTGTGCCTTCACTTGGGTTGGATTGGGCGACCCTACTCGGAACCGAACCTCTCTAAGTATCAACTTATACAAGAAACAACCTCTCTATGTATCAACTTATACAAGAAACTGGTCAAAGGCCCGTGGAGAAGAAGTTTAGTGTTGTTGAGGGTTACCAATACTTTCCTTGGGTTGGGAGGACCTGTGTATTCTCACCTTTCGAAATTGCTACAGTTTGATGTGCTAGTCCCGGAACACTATAACCCCCGGCCCCCAACCCTGCCATGCCTAAGCCCCGGCTTCAAGTCGTGACTTGACCACATCAAAAAGCCCATTGTTAAGACAAAACTGTATATAGTATGAATGCATACATATGTATATATATATATATACATATACACATACACACATGTTTCCTATATATGTATACACAGATTTGCGGCCATATGAATGTGTGTGTATGTATGTATGTATGTATGTATGTATGTATGTTATTAGGCGAGCACGGAATAAATTCGGCCCAGCGAGACAGCACCGCCCCAGCCATGCCAGGTGCTCATGCTCCCCGCCTTCTTCACCAGCCACTTTGTTTGATTACCGTGAGAGACTAGGATTGAAACTTCGAGCGACTATGAGCGATCTTGCTTGACTATGAGCGATCTTGCTTGACTTTGAGAGACTCTGAGAGATTTTCTTTTGGTGGGTAGGAGGGAGACAGAAGAAAGAGAGGGATATTTTTTTCGGATCGAAGCACACGGGCGAACCATCCGGAACAAGTTTTCTGCATGGTGCATGATGTAGGACCCACACATGGATCGAAGTTTGGTCGAAGTTTCGACCAAACTTCGACACCCTCCCCTCGAAGTTTGTATCGAAGTTTCATGTTGAGTCTGTGCATACAGTACAGCGAAAACGGCTAGAACAGCAGATCCAAGCATCGAACTTTGTGTTAAAACTTCGACCAAACTTCGAGCAAAGTGCGACCAAACTTCGACGAAGTTTGGTCGAAACTTCGACCGAACTTCGACCCTGTTTTGGTGTTCACTGACGACTCGATCTAGATGTTCGGCTGACCCTTGTGCTTGTAGCTTGCAGCAGCAGCACAATCAGCTGTGATCGCCAGCTTGCCTTTTGTATCGAACCAGCTTGTGTGTAGCTCCCCACTCCTTTGTTGCAGCCATGGTGGTTTCTAAGAAGCGACCAGCAGCGGCCAGTGTCAACGAAAGCATCAATGCTCTCGAGGACCTGTGTGACACCGCCAATAAGCGGTCGAAGGGCAAAGGAGAGAAGTTCGCAAAATTGAAGGCTCGCGGAGCACTTCCGGCCCATATAGAGGAATATTATAACAACATCCCCGACGGCGTGAACCCCCGGGAACACAAGACTGACGTTATCAACCGGCTCTTTGTGCAAACGAGAGACGGAAAATATGTCATGAACACGAACGACATTATGTTCAAGCAGAGCCTTGCTATCTACAACAAGAAGTTCAGCCGCGAGGAGGAGATCGGAGTCGCCAAGAGTGTCTTCATAGCCAAGCACTTCCATGGGGACGAGAAAGCCTTCGACCGGGCCGTTGAGAAAGGCGATGTCTATTGCCGAGAGCACAAGGGCAAGGAGTACTATGCCTTCGAGCAGGTCACTATGGGGACCGAGGGTGGTACCACGGAGAAGCACGACATGGAGGGTGTCAAGAAGTTGAGCAAGACAGAGGCAGTGCAGCTGGAGGGAATGATGAGCAGGCTAAACTGGCATTGGAAAAAAGCCATGACCGATGATGCGATCGAAAACGGTGAGATCTCCGATGCCATGAAAAAGCTGCTTCGCGATGCCCTCGCCAGCCAGAACAAGCTTGCCGCTGAGTGCATGAAGATGCTGAAGAATGAGGTCAAAGTGTTTGCAGGGGACGACGTTAAGCAGATTCGCCAAACCTTGTCGGGCTGCCAGAACAATTCCCTTGCCCTGCAGCAGTTGATCGAGTTCAGCATGCTCCCCAACGACGAGAAGCTAACCAAAGCATCCCTGGACCACTTGTTGAGGGATATCGCATCCATGACCCAGAAGCACAACCAGTTGGTGGAAACCATGAAGGGCAAGATCAGAGCGTCCAAGAACTGAGAGGGACTGTGAGAGATGCTCTAAGGACCTGTAGGTTCCTGTTTTTGCGACTCGGATTGCAATCGGCGAGACCTTAGAGGGATGTGAGTGTAGAGAAAGTGTTGCTATGGCTCGGTATGCTTGTGTTTGTATGTCTGCATAGCTCAAAACCCAAAACCCAATCCCCCAATAAAGGCGCCGAAATCCTCAACCCCGAACCTTAAACCCTAAATTGGCACTAAATCCTAGACCCTGAACCCAAAACCATGAACTTCACCGAACCTCCGAACCTATAGCCCCCGGGCTCCCGGATGTATAGAATGATGTACGGGATTCGGGCTTTGTAATCATTGCTTATAAGGGGCATGCAATAATGTCACAAGGTGTAGGGTTCAATTTCTCGGATATAAAAAGGTACGGGTTCAGGGTTTGGGGCTGAGGGTTTCGGGTTTGGGGTTTCAGGGTTGGGGGTTTAGGGTTTAAGGTTGGCGGTTCAGGGTATAGGAGGGTCTATAGGCTTTGGGGTTGAGGATTTCGGCACTTTTTTGGGGTTTAGGGTTTGGGGCTTCAGGGTTTGGGGTTGAGGGTTTCGGGTTTGGGGTTTCAGGGTTGGGGGTTTAGGGTTTAGGGTTGGCGGTTCAGGCTATAGGAGGGTCTATGGGCTTTGGGGTTGAGGATTTCGGCGATTCTTTTGGGTTTAGGGTTTGGGGCTTCAGGGTTTGGGGTTGAGGGTTTCGGGTTTGGGGTTTCAGGGTTGGGGGTTTAGGGTTTAAGGTTGGCGGTTCAGGCTATAGGAGGGTCTATGGGCTTTGGGGTTGAGGATTTCGGCGATTCTTTTGGGTTTATGGTTTGGGGCTTCAGGGTTGAGAGTTTAGGGTTTAAGGTTTGGGGTTCAGGGTTTAGGAGGGTTTAGGGTTCAGGGTTGAGGGTTTAGGTTTAAGGTTTCGGGATCAGGGTTCCCACATATAAGTCCATACGGAAGGCTTAAGCCCCAACCCGTGCATCAACCCAATGGTTTTCCATATCCGACCCCAAAAGATCCGCCCTTGGCAATTAAGTCGTATATGCTATAAGATCCAAAACCCCAAAAGTGCCAATCACTTGTAGATCATGCTGTACCTGTGTAGTTTCGCCCGCACAGGCAATCCTTCTAGTGATCGGAGCTTTGGAAGCTCTGATATGTGGTGCTGTCTTGAGGTGATCCACCATTTTGCTGACAGCATACATGCCCACAAAAGGAGCACAATGCATGCATGATGCAAGTGGGGCGGGGTAGGGCAGGGTGGTTTTCTGTTTCGGGACATGCTTTGGATCTTTTGGGCTTTGGTGGGGATGCACATCCCCTGCAACTAGGAGTTTATGGCCTGGAGGTTTAGTTTTAGGAGTGTTGTGGGAGGCTAGAAAAGGGATGGAGTAGCTGCTGTTAACAGGAAAGCCGAGCAAACCGCCCTTGTTTATATCGTTATACCTGTATATGAATCATCCTTTTGCACAAGAAAGTCCCAGGCTCCACAGAAATAGTGCAATGGCACAAAAGCGGGGAACGACCCCGAAGCCACACAGCAGAAACTCCCCAGTAGTATAGATGCCTGCAGGTATGACAGTGGTGGCTGGCGGCGATGCCGAAGATCGTATCAGGCTCGGGTCGCATGTCTGTGTGTACATGTGCCCTCGAAGTCCCTCGGAAGTCCCTCAAGGTTTCTCACAGGAAATCGTTGGGCCCTCAAGGTATTTTACAATAACACATGGTTCTTCTCTCAAGGTGTCTAAATTGTTGGGGAAAGCTTTTGTGGGCACTCCTAAAGATTCGGGTTCAGGGTTTGGTCGCTCATTCTCGCACATGGCAGGCTCCACGACTTCAGGTTTGGGTGTAGGGCTTAGCAAAGTGTTGGAGATGTATGTTACCTATATATAGTCATATTGTGCTTCGCTTTTAAACAATCTTGACACCTGAAAATCTAAAAAGACCCGTCGTCGATCGGTCAAGTTTAAGAGCAACTTGTTTTTGGCTTTTACATGGCCCAAAATCCTTAAACCCTAAAGCCCTAAACCCTATGTTTCGAGTTTAAGCAAAAGGCTTTCGAGGGTTGGGGTCGAGAAACATGCCTAATTTCCATTGTGCGGCTCAACAGATATCTCAAGAATATGGCTGCAAGCTCAAACGAGCTCGAGCGACCCATCCCTGCTGTCTCAAAGTCAAAATTGTGACATGTCCCCCAGCTTGTAACAGCCTAATACACATAGGATCGCAGCACAGCCCTTTAGGCCTCAAGTGTTTTTTCAAGGTAACACGGGGTGAGGAAGTTGAGTATCTTTTCCAGGCTTACAATGGTTTCGGGAATGATGAATGGAGTCGCAGCGAAAGGGTGGCCTTCAGCAGAGTAAACGAAAGAGGGAAGAAGCTGAGGAGCTGGAGCATGGGTCCAATAGAAGAAGTTCTCTGGTTGATCATCTTCTGAAGCAGTTTGCATGGGGGGACATATCCCCACAGGAGGCCCAGACTTTGGCAGCTAAGTCCCTAGAGGATTTTGAACGATGCTGCCCAGAGGACCGCATTCCTGAAGATCTTCGTTTTTTGGCCGGCATTGGCAATTCAGGCAGAGATCCGCAAAATTGTCATTCGCAATTAATGGCGAAACTCGAGCCCGGCATCAAGCTTCCTCGGCCACTGGAGGTCAACATGAGGTTCAAGATGGGCGACTTCAGGCAGCAAATACTGCTGCCACATGAAATGTTTTCGGCGCTTTTCCGTTCGTATGGGCCTGCATTCCGGTCACATATATTGCCTCGGCCAGAAGAGCTGAACAATTTCTGGACCAAAGTCGCTGGACACCCAGCCCTCGAAGGCCACGATGTCTTGTCTAGAGAAGATCGCTTTACAAAAGCGATACCTATCGGAGTCCACGGCGACGATTGCCCGGTTTCTGGACTGGGAAAATGTTGGGTCTCGAAGCTATCGACAATGAGTTGGTACTCATTCATGGGCACAGATTCCCGAACCAAGGAAAAGCTCATGTGGATATATTCCTGTCCAGAAAAATATCGGTTGAACAAGTCCGACCAGCACGAACCTACTCTTGACACTTTCTTCAGGATCCTCGCATGGTCACTGACGTGGCTCTACCGAGGCAAATGGCCGGATAGAGATTTCAACGGTGCCAAGTGCCTTGCGACTGTTCATCACCCGTTTTTCTTTGATGCTATGAGCCTCTTCTACATCGTTATATCCAGTATCTGAACAAAACCTGCACAATGAAACCTTGCATATTTTGTGTATCGAAGACATGTGGTTTCGCCGCAAGCCCCAGGATCCAGTGTTCGGGTTCAGAGTTCTGTTCTGCTGTTTGTGTATATGTGATATACGTATATACATCTCCCCCTCCTCTCTCTCTCTCTCTCTCTCTCTCTCTCTCTCTCTCTCTCTCTCTCTCTCTCTCTCTCTCTCTGCCTCCCTCTCCCTCTGTGTTGCAAACAGCTCACACATGCACAGACAAATGTACATACCCAGAGTAGATAAGACACCACCGAGCGGGCGACACTACACTTATATGCCGTGCATCTCTATATGCTTTCGTTTCAATCTGTAAAGAAGGGTTTAGGGTTTAGGGTAGAATATAATCAGCAGTGCTCTTAAATATATTCTAAACCCCGGAAGAACCATTACCCCGACATGGTACAAAATCAGGATGTGCTAAGCTTGAGTGTCACAGGGGTGTTAGCCCTGAAAACCCGCACGGTTTACGGTTTTTTCTGTGGTGGGTTAGGGATTAGGGGTTTTTTCTTGTGACACACTTATTCGTTTTTTCCGAATCATCTGAAAGGTACAAGACAGGAACTTTGGAGCATAAGCGGGCTCTGACCCCGCTTGCTGGCGGCTTGTACTGTGTCCTGCTTGGAATCACAGGCGACCTTGATTGGTTCGCAGCAGTGCTGAAGCTCCCGCATTTCGCAAGCTCGAAGGGCCCATGCTGCTTATGCAAGGCCCAGGCCAAGGGGCCCTTGACATTCACTAACTTTCGTGCAAATGCACCGTGGCGAGACACGGTGTGGAAGGCGACAGATTGGATTGCGGATCCGAACCGATCTCAGAACCCAATTTTTGGGGTACCTTCAACATCATGCCATGTCGTGGCATTGGACCTGATGCATTGCAAGCACTTGGGCACAGACATGTATATGTTCGCCAGTGTGATATACCTGCTTTGCCACCACATACTTCCACACGAGCCACAGGAAAACCTGCGGGTTGTTTGGCAAAAGCTGAAGGAGAGCTATGTCAAGCTTGGTATTAGTGCTGGGCAGCGGTTCCGGGCCTTGACGAAGACGTCTATGTATACCCGCAAGACCGGGTATCCGAAGCTCAGAGGCAAAGCCTATGAATGCCGATATCTGGTCCGACCACTATTGGAGACATGGAATCATTTTCGCAACCCCCGGTTGCATGTACATCAACAGATCACTCTTATGCTGAAACAGAACATGCTGATGGAAAGGGTGCTTTCTGAAAACAAAGCTGCTCTACAGTTCCCTGCGGAGGCGGCTGAAGCCTTCCGGAAAGCCACCACGAACATGCTGCTGCTCTATGCTGCTGTCGCGACCCATTTCGCTAATGCTGGTATCCAGGTCTTTGATGTGACGAGCAAATTCCACATGCTCCAACACATCGCCGACTACTGCGAGTACTTGTCTCCACGTCTCGTATGGTGTTTTTCTGGAGAGGATATGATGCGGCACACTCAAAAGCTTGCTCAAGCATGCAGCAGGGGGGTCGGACCCTGTATGGTTGTTGGCAAGATGTCTCGCAAGTACCGCCTGGCCTTGCACCTTCAGTTCTCGCAAGAGTGAAAAGACGGCATCGCTCTTCTCCGTTTGCTTCCTTGTTCAGGGATGCTTCAGTTTACACGTTTTGGCTCTAAGGTTCTGCAAGGTTTCTCATATTCTCAAAGTCGTAAAAAAGGGGTTTGTGTCTACACCCCCGGACTTATGGAGTGCATAAAGAAGGCAGAACTGGTAGAACTCTCAGCTCTCACGGTTTAACTCGCTCAAGGTCTCTCAAAGTCCCTCCTCGCTGCACACTTGGTGCCAATGAGAACCCTTTCGGGGTGCATCAAGATTTTTATAAACAGGTGGAGCCAAGGCACAAGGCCTCAGACCCTTCAAGCTCAAGAAAGTGAGCCGGGACCCACAAGCCCCAACGAAGCCTAAAGTTTAGGACAAAAGCCTCGCCCTTAAGTTTCTGAGAGCCATGACACCAAAAGCCCCCCATAAACTTGAAACCCAAGCCTCAACCGAAGCCTAGAATTTAGGACAAAAAAGATTCTGAGCCATGAAAGCAGAAGCCCCATAGGCTTGAAACCCAAACCCCAACCGAAGCCTAGAGTTTAGGACAAAAACCTTCACCCTTAAGTTTCTGAGCCATGAAAGCAAAAGCCCCATAGGCTTGAAACCCAAACCCCAACCGAAACCTAGAGTTTAGGACAAAAAACTTCACCCTTAAGTTTCTGAGCCATGAAAGCAAAAGCCCCATAAGCTTGAAACCTTGCAGGCAGCCGATCTCCGGGAAGGAACTTTGAGCGACCAGGAGTGAGGATATACCGAGAGAGGGTGTGTGTGTGTGTGTGTGTGTGTGTGTGTGTGTGTGTGTGTGTGTGTGTGTGTGTGTGTTTGTGGACATAGTTCCAGACATAGATGTATAGACATGGATATAGGCATAGAGATATATAGGGATGATACACACATACAGACAGACATGTGCTGTAAAGACGATGGATATAAAGATATGGATTAAATACAGATTTCGGTTTGGATACAGGTGTAGGTTTGGACACAGATAAAAAAGTATATAGATAGATAGAGGTAGGGGGCAAAAAGGCAGAGATATAGGTATGTTATATAGACAAAAAGGATGTTGCTGTAGAACAGGATTTAGAGATATTTACGTGTGTATGTATGACTGTGTATATACATATATATATATATATATATATATATATATATACATATATATATATATACATATATATATATATATGATAATTGGTACCGATGGCTTTGTGATACTACAAACAGACATGCTTTATGTTGTACAGGTTATGCACACATGCAACACACACACACACACATATATATATGTATATATATATAGCATGCATACATACATGTACAAGCCACATGAAAACATATGCCACACACATATAAAACATATACATATAGATAGATATATCTATATACATACATTGCATGTATTTGTACCTGTTTTGCATGATCGAGAATCACAAAACCGCCGACGAAGTTTGTGACGAAGCTTAGAACGAAACTTCGTCGAAGTTTGGGCCCCGGGCCATATCCAGAATTCGTAGGATTCTGGATATCGATTTTGGAGATCTTGAAACCCCAAAACAACGAGGATAATTCCTAGGATTTTGGAGATGACCGACAAGACTAAATCGTAGGATTTTGACTATTATCAACGTGGGATTTTGGATATCAACGAGGATATATATCCTTAATTGAGTTTTGACTATTAGTCACGATTATGGATATATCGTGTGATTATCCTAAAGGTAAAATTCAGACTAACCCAAGCTATGGGCAATGCTTTCTAGAGCTTGTGCTCATTCTTGAGCCAAACGTTGCATGGGCGGTCATACAGGAAGGTTGGAGAAGCAATGCGGTGTGCGTAGCACTTCCACAAGCTTACTCCTAGAGACGAGGGACGCGTAGCGTGCCCCCTTCCCTTGCACTTTACACGGTCTTGCTCACAGCTCTTATAGTGACACCTTAGAACTTGACAAGGCATCGCAGTCCGTTCGCACCCCCCATGAGTTGCGTCTCCGACGCTGCTCACCCGGAAGATGGCACGATAGGATATCAGAAAATGTTCCGCCGCAACGTTGACATAAAAATCAGAGCTTTGCATCCCAATTAGAAACGTTGTGACACTCGTCTACGTCGGTAACGATCCCCTGAAATGGCAAACGAATCAGGCGTCACCGAAGAAGGAAGCATTCGCGATGGGATTCCACGGGCGAAGCTCAGAGGTCACGAACTGAAAGATGATGTAGATCAAGTATTGTCTCGCCACCATCTTCGCGTTGACGTAGGATCGCGTTCCCAGGGCCGGAGGTTCTCCTCTGGATACTGGCTTTTCTGCTTTCCTTTGTCCTTGCCTTTGTTTCGGCCTTTACTGGCGATGTAGTCATGGTAGGAATTGGTGTTCCAGCCTCCATGTTGCTCATTTCCAGTTCTCTCACGCCCTTTTGAAGGTCCCTTTGCCGAAGAAGCGCTTGCACGTTCCTCCGTAGTGACGGGCGTGTCCATGATGGAAGTACCACCTGGAGGGAGATACTCTTCGGCCGAGATATGATGTAGTGCTTCAGTACGTCGAGCACTCTGATGTTGCTGTCTCTCAACCTTGGATCTGACCAATCTGTCCAGGAAATGTGCAGGCATTTGCACATTGTGGTCTACCAGCAATCCAATGGTTTGGACTGAATGATCAGCGTGAGTCAGCAGGATGCCGACGGGGTCGATGTACAGAAAGTCCACCGGTCCAGTTGGCGTGGGTCGTAGTACTGAGAATTGTTGATGTCCTGTCACCATCGGAATCACTTCGCATAGGACGTTCAGGCAGCAGAAATGCATCGCCTTTACATCTTCATCCCTGTTACTCTTCAAGTACGTGGTAGGATTGAAGTTGTCCCTGCCGATTCCCATCATGTTGGCTCCCCGCGTGAGCAACGAGAGCATCTGGTTCGTCCGGAAACGTTTCAAAGTGTAAGTCCCGTTGGGATCATACGACTTGAGGTTTTCAGGCTCCTTGGCGAAGCGAATGATCTCCTCATCAGTCACATCCCTACTCACACCTGTTTCTCTGTCCACTGTAGCCAACGTTCCCCATTTTCCGAGCACATCATAGCGTTGGCCATTCGTGAAGTTCTCTTTCATTTGGAACAACGGCATAGTCGCCCACTTCGCGAATCCTGACCAAGCTTTGTAGATGGTTCTGCACACCACGAATGCCATATACGAAAGAGCGGCCATGTTGGCGTCAATGCAATGGGCATTTCGCTTTCCTGGATAGTAGGACGGCTGCATGGCGGTACGGGCGAGTTGCAGTTCAGGATCGATGTTCAAAGACTGGCCGGCGATGAGGACGGGACGTCGTTCCTGTGCTACTGCATCTGGAACTTCATCATCAAAGTCCTCTCCTGGCTCCGTGTCCATTTCTTCATCAGGTTCCTGTTCTGGATCGTCTTCCCCGACGACAGATGGTTCCGGAATTCCTTCAGGTTCCGCAACGGTCTCTGTCTCCATGGCTTCCTGCTCCTCGACGGTCGCCTCGGGCACTGCTGCTGCCGCAGCTTCCATTGTCTGAGCAATGAAGTCACTGGGGATCTCCGTAGGAGTCTCCCGTTGTGGAGTACCTTGGTAGTATCCGCAAGAAACGAATTGCGACCAGCAGGATGTGCATCGAGAGAAGCATGCCGGAACAATGTTGTAGCACGCCGGGCACACCCTCATTCTCCTGCCATCCTCGTCTCTGCGTAGATCTTCGGGTCGCCAGTTCTTGATGACAAACTTGATGCCTTTATCCATGTAATGATGCCGAACCGTGTTCTCCCTGTGGGACTCCAGGACAGTAGTAAGGTCTCGCATTATCTGCTCCTTGCTTGTGTCGTGGGGTCCAGGAGGCATCTCGCAAAGCAATTCCATGATCTTGCTTGGCGTTCGGTATCTCTCGAATTCAGGGAGCAATGGTGATGCATAGTAGTCCAACACCATCTCTTTCTCCAATCGTTCATCGTAGATCTTTTCCACCAGAGCGAAAGAATGTGTATCTTGAGGATTCGGGACGCAAAACCATACCTCCTTGACGAACTGGAACGATATCGTTCGACCAACGATGATGATACCGCTGTCTGTGATACGTCCACCCTCTCGGGCAAGATCTGTCGAAGCGACATGGAGGACCGCCAGCGGCATGTGCTTAGCTTGTGGTCCATGTACCCGAGTTTTGGTCGTCGCGTTCCGGTGATCGAACGGTGCAAATACCCCCCAATAGCTGTGGAGTCTGCCGCCTCGGTTGTCCCGAAATTGGCGCCTATGGTCAAAGTCCCCGTCAGGATCCTCCGAACCAGGCATGATGCCTTGCATAACGATGGAATCCAAGTTACGGCATGCCGTAGCGTGGAACGCGCCCCCAAGACGTGTCAAGAGGGTCATAGATGGAGATATTGCGAACCTGTCCTTGTCCAACTGAAGCAAATTGTTCTGGGGATCGGAGTGCGCAGAGTGACCACTTGTAGCCCGAACTGCCCATGGCTTCACCCAGCCGTTGCAAACGTTCAGGTACCTCTGGTTGTGCCGGCAACGGTCGTTGTTCTGGATCTCTGAGATCTGATCAGGAACCGACACCAACATGTTCGAGTTCGCAGGTCCAAGAGTCTCCGTGCCGGGGTTCTTCACTCTCACGCCCAGGAACTGCAGCCGAATTTTAGCCTTGTGGCGTCTCGTGGCTGCAAGCATGTTCCCTTGGAACAATAGCTGTAGTCTTTCATTGTACACTCTCTTCCTCTGTTGCTCGTCGGTCCTTGAGACCGCTTCGGTGATGCGTCTGCTTTCATGGGTCCATAGTTGCTCATGCCTCACCAAATCCTCGATCAGCACCCACCCTCCTTCATCACATCGAATGACGCTGCTGAACGCCACTTGGCACCTATTGTCAAGCCATTCCGAACCTGGGCGCCTGGCGATTCTGTGACGCAAGTCAGATTGAATGCATGATAGCGCCCAATCTGCGTTCTTTCTTCGATGATGGGTGATGTTGCGGAGGACAACTTCAT